TATAGTATTAAACGATATGGGTTTTGTTCATTATTGAAGGCCGTACCATGCCTTATAGTTGCTTCAAATCACGTCATTTGGGCTTTGGTGGATAGTTGTTTCAGTGGCAATCATACCACATTTCCGTACTTTGATATACAGTTAAAAAACCAACAAACCCTTAAATAGTCTAATATTTGATTTGACCACCAAACACTTGGCTTGTTCTAGGACTATATCGTGAGACCTAGATTTTTCCAACTTTCACGATTGCGTTGTCTCATTTGGCATTATTTTTATACTCATACATATAAATCAGACATGATTGAATGTGGTAGCATGAATAACATGTGCGATTCCATAAATTGAAACTTGTGGGATAGTGTCAGTAATATATAGAACACACATCCGACTCTTATTGTTTGTTAATACTTCGCTGCTTGTTGATTGCTACTCCCGGAGCAGAGGTATGACAAAATAGCATGATGTTTTAAAAAATAACAAACTATTATCAAGATGGACATTGGGCTATTTTTTAAGGAAATCAACTCTTCTAAATGTAAAGAGAAAGTGATTTATAAAAGCTTTTTATAAAAATTTTCCTCTTCATACTTCATCTTGTAGTAAACACTTTAATAGAACAAACATCACTTACTGGTATATTTACCTTCTGTATTTAGGTACGAAGCATATCAAATCGGGAAACCTTAAAACATGCATGCATTCATCAAATGCGATTTAAATCAGCAAACATTAAAAAAAAACATATATGTCGTTGACATCTTTTCTGATGTGCCTTTCTTTAACTATTATTTCTGGTTGTTATAGGTGTATCAAAAATTAATTGCCCTCAAACAAAATTAAAATTAGATATATCGACTTACTTGACTTATGAAGTTTATATACATGTAGCTTCTCGTGTATTCGAGTATACTTAGCTTTTTATTTGTTTAGTTTGCGTGTTCTTGATGAAAGTAAACCATCTTTTCATCTTACAGTATTATTTCAGACATAAACAGAGTAGTTTTTTATATTTGAAAAATTCAAAAGTTTGGATTTAAAGAATGTGTTATTCCAATGTTAATTTTTTTTTTTTAAAGTAAGTTAAATTGTTAAATTCCCTGTTCTGCCATTAAAGATAAAAACAATTATCAACAGTTTAATTTTCATTTTCTAAATAACACCTCTTCTTATCTCATATTTCATAGTTTCTTTCCGTACACACAAGTGTGATTCCTATAAAAAGTAAAATCACAAAAATACTGAACTCCGAGGAAAATTCAAAAAGGAAATTCTCTAATCAAATGGCAAAATCAAAAGCTCAAACACATCAAACGAATGGATAACAACTGTCATATTCCTGACTTGGTACAGGCATTTTCTTATGTAGAAAATGGTGGATTGAACCTGGTTTTATAGCTAGCTTAATGATTTAATAGTTATATCAATTGGTGGAAACTGAAGGTCATGTAACTTAACAAGTAGGTCAGTCATCATGATTTTAAAATGAATGACAATAAAATACGATTTAACCTGAGAATAACTTCTAAATAAGCTCAGAGCACAAAATAATTGATTATACACTTTTTCTGACAAAAAAAGCTAGATGAGGAATCAATATGGTCGACTAATAAATTTAAATCAAACATGTTAACATAAAGCATTTAATAGTTTCCTTAGGAATACAGTATTATGATTAGTCTTGTTCTTATCTTGCTGGTATTAAGTTAGTTTTCTATGTACTGTTTTGTGAACTTGTTTTTCTTTTCGTTGTCTTTCGTTTTTTTTTTTTTTTGTCATTTTCTATCGATTGATGAATTTTGAAGTCACCTTGGTATTTTCCACCCCTTGTTTAAATGCAAAATATTTTTTTTAAATTGTTTTAATAAAAGTTTGTGTTATTTCCAGAAAATATCATTCCTGCGTTATTTCAGGAATTGCCCTTTTTCTAACTTATTCTCCGATATCAAATGAACATATTGGTGAGATTATTTTCTTATTCTTATTTTTAAGTTTGCTAATGGTTGGTATCAATGCAGTTATGGAGAAGAATATTGATCTTCCTTTTATCAAACAGCTATCTATCTTTACCATGAAATTTTTGCACTCTGAATTGAGACCGACAACAAATTTTAATAACTGTAAAACTTTCTTGTTGTCATGTTTAATGATTGTATCATACAATCCATCATGAGTTACCAAATTCTAAATATCAATATATTTAAATATAAAGTACAAACATGGCCATTGTTAATCTATGATATCATAACGAATTGTTTCAGTTTGAAAGTATACACATACTGCTTCATTTTAAAACGTTTCAGAACTTGACCTTTTTTGAAATACTCAGACTTGACGAATTGATCTTTGTTATAATATGCAAGGCATGCTAGCTGTTCGTTTTTTAATAGTGTACTCGATATCTTGTTTTCCATATTTTAAACGGCAGATAAGACGATCTTTTGTATTCCAATCAAAGTTAACTGCGAACTGCATTTTTTTCATGAGAAACAAAGACATTCTAAAACATTTTATCAATCGATGCAAAGCGAACCTGCTCGCAAATTAATGGTCTAGATAAATTGGAGCTCCAAACTCCAACCTACATGTAGGTACTCAAATAGGTTGTCAAGCAAAATACATATAAAATACGTATGATACGAATATGAGTCAATTAGTACATACCGTGTTTCTGGAATAATCTTTAGCAATCCTCGAGACCAATATATTTGATAGTCAGAAACACAAAAAGTTCGACAGATTTGAGGTTACAGGGCCAAGGAGCCCAGAAATATAAAACGCCCTGTAACCAAAAAATTAACCACGTACAACAAAAAGATAGTGTGACGTCTGATTATCAGGTTTACACACAACATTGAGTTAAACATTCATCAGGGCAGAGTATGCAAACACTTATTAAATTAATGAACATTTTATCACGTCCCCCTTTTTCGATTGCTGCACCTCCGACTGAATTTTCATCCAATCTATTCTGAACTAACTCGACGGGTACTAACTGTTTTGATTCGAGCCCAACTGTGTAGACAAAAACGCCCGTCTTGTGTATTGAATTATAATCATGTTATCTATGATCAGTTTTTTATCTGTTTTATTCGACTCGTGATTTTGAATGCCAATCTTCTCTACCTTTTGACACCAGATAAATTTATTAACAAGATTTGAGTTTATTGTAAATTTACAATTGTCATCATTTATTCCATCTCAATCATTATCATAGGAACACTTTTAATTTCAATAGAGAAACTTTAAAATATCAGTACAACCAGTAATGATAGACATAATATAGCTAGGGAGTATTTTGTTCTTTTTGGTTAATAACATCATGCATAGAACTGATCTTAAGTACACGACTCTTTATGAGGCCTATTCAGTTACATTTACTGCAATACTGGAAACCCTCATTCAGAAAGCAAGACTGATAAATCTTATTTACACATCACCTGCGAAGTCCAATGATATTGTGGTTACACTTACATGTACAGGGCAGAGACTTGTATTAAGGGTCAGTAACATTATAAAAGCTACCGATGCTTCCAAAACGGGTTTTTGGGTTACATGACATAATCACTTGACAAACTGTAGGCATGTGCCTTTCCACCACTTTGCTTAATACCGAAAGTTTTGAAACACATAAATCAATACCTATGTGTACACAGGCAAATTTTGTTCACGTGAATTTAATGTGAAATTAACGTGAATTTCACGTGAAAAAATTCACGTGAATTTCACGTTAATCGAGCTTATACGCGTAATTCACGTGAAATATTTCACGTGAATTTCACGTTAAACTCACGTGATTTTCACGTGAAATACTGATTCACGTGAAATTCACGTGAAATTTTTCATGTGAAATTCACGTGAATTGAGCCTTCACGTGAAATTCACGTGAACTTTTCACGTGAAATTAACATGAATAGAGCTTCTTTTTTTAAATGAAATTAAAGTGAATTCAGCCTCAATCACACTAATTTCACAGGATTTGAGCTTATTTATGTAAGTCAATTCTAATCTAATACAAATTCTGTTTTGATATATATATAAACATGAAAAATATTCTTCTTGGTCTGGACCATGTGTTCATACTTCCATTCTGTTTTACTTTCTTTGTTTCCAAAATTTTTTGGTCTTAAACAAAGAAGGCAAGCAAATGCATCACAGGATATAAATTATATCCAGGGCACCTTAGTTCACTCCTAGAACTTTTTTGGTTGTGTTGAGTCTCAATCCTTTTTTGTAAATGATTTATGGACTGTGGTTATTTATAGAAGTTGATTGCACTGATGTATATTTCATTTGAGTTGATTTTTATTATGTTTGTATAAGTCATATTGTGTGGTCATCAGTTTTGACACAAACCAATCACATTATGGAAAAGACCTACTTGCAAAAGATGCCAATTCTCTTTATGAAGGTTTTGAAGAAAAAAAACTAGTTCACCTCGCCACATATTCATGTACCTGCTTAAAGCCAGAAATCTTTTCAGTGGTTGTCAAAAATCTCGTCTTAATAAAAAAAAAAATATTCAGAGAATTTGGTGTTGATGGCTATTCTTGATTCATATTGTAATTTTTTTTATAGCCTCTGGTCAATTAAATAGATCATGGCATATCTTTTAGACACCTGTCTTTTGTTGAGGACTGCATGTTAGCACCTTAATGCCTTTCAGGTGTTTTTGTTGTTATATTGCTGGCTGATTGATGTATACCTCATGTCTCATTGTACTAATAAACTAAAATAGAAAGTTCTGTGAAATATACAGATATAGCTGATATACAAATGTACCATATTGAAAGGCTCTCTGTAATTTACAACCATTTACTTCTTATTTCATATATGCAAAAATATTTTTTTTTTCTCATTTTAACACTGATCTTAAGGTTAAGGCAAAATGTTTACAAACAACAGGCATATACCATTAAAAGATCTCAAAGTTTGGCTGCACAATAAGCTAAAAGTTCTTGTTATTTCATTTTTTTATATAAAATTCATTTTAAAACATGCATTTTCATTTTTTTACTGTAACTTGTATGTTGACACAATAATTTGAATTTGAATTTTATTATATTCTGAAAGTACTTGTGGTTGAAAAAATATACACAATTGTTAATTCCAGTTGGTTTACGTTTCTTGAAAACACCACTACTATGACTACATGTCTGTTAATAATGTTTAAGAGTCCTCTTCTGCATATAATTGCTATTTGTACCTAAGGATTCCTTCATACATTTGCACTTCTCCTCCTAAGATGTTGCTCCAATGATAAAATCCTGTAATGCATACTTAGCAATCAGACTCTTTGAATACTTCCTACAGTTCCTGTAATATAATAAAATCAGCATGTTTGTTTCTGTAGTCAAGCAAAAAAGATAACACCAATTTAATCTCCAATGATTTACCAAACTTATAATTAGGAGATAACTGTTTTGTATTTTAAGCTCAGACATGATCAATTGGTGATTTGATGGTGATTTACCCAGTAAAACCCAGTAATTCCCACTGGGCTGGGCAATACTCATAAAACCCAGGTTTTTGCCAACCCTGTTTCAGGACATTTTGTAGCTCGCTATGCTGTATCAGTTTTGCTCATTGTTGAAAGCTGTACATATGATCATTTATAGTTGTCAATATTCAGTCATTTGGACTCTGGTGGATAGTTGTCTCATTGGCAATCATACCATGTCAAATTTTATAATAAATTACTTATGAAAACAAACCATATTCATGTACATGTATGTGTACTACACATTACCTGTATATATAAGTATACTTAGTGCCTATAGAAACACAACTCATCATTTCCAAGCCCCCTTCTTACATGTTTTAGCCCCATTTAAATTACAATACTAACACAGTATGTTTATGGCTCTATGCATTCTGGAAACATCTGGTTACCTGATACTTTTCCAGTTAAGAAATTTGTGATTAGCTTCCATAGGGGTATAAATCAAAACTCCAAATGATCTGAAAATTGATAATCTAGCAGACTGTACATTTTTTAATTACCTCTGCAACGGAGGTGTGGCGGTTCATTATGGTTGAACTTTGCCATGTTAACAAGTTGTACCTCCAAAACTGTAGGAGGAGATAGCCAGACAAACAAAGTATCCTCATCCGGACGGACAGGGGTAAATTGATATTATTCCCCCTCGACTGTTGCTGGGCATAACTACATGTGCTGTAGCATGTGTAAGGGGACCAGAAATGGGTTTTTATTGGCACTCAGTATAAATTTATATAAAATAGATATCACAAGAGACGAGTAAACACGCTGAAATGTCTTGCATGTTTTACTATTCATGATATATTTTATGTTGATTGTTCTAAACATGCTAAAGATATAATTTTACTATAAGTATGATATATAAACTTAACATAACCAATGATCCATGAAAAAAATACTGTCAAGCAAATAATGCCAAGGTCAGAAAAACCAAGCCAGACAGACATGTGCACCTTACAATCATTGCCTACCCCAAATATAGCTGATCTGTTAATTGATTATAGCTTGTATAGTATACAACAAACACAGTGGCAAATCCAGAAATTTTCATAAGTGGGGGCCCACTGACTGCCTAAGAAGGGGCCCGCTCTGGTCAAGCTTCAGTGATTCCCTATATAATCAACCAATTTTTTCCCAGAACAGGGAAGGGGGGGAGGCCCCCTGCCCCCCTATATCCGCCTCTGCAAACAGACCAAAATATGAAACTTATTATTGACTAATGAACTATGAATATCAGGTCATGGTAAGATGAACCCTGCCCAGACAGACATGTACACCATACAATCAGTTGCAGACAAGACAAAAATGGCCTAATTCATGATAGCAGTTATTGTTTAATCTTGGTCAAGCTATTTTGATAATTTTCCTCAAACTACAAGCATAACATATATACACATGGGAATATTAATATGAAATAAGAATTGAAATCTAAGGAAATCCAGAATATAAAATTCTATTCTCATAAATTTACATGGACTGAAAAAGGGTAAACAAATCTAACTACATGCCTATTCCATACATGTATATATAGCAGATTAACTTTTCCCTTGATCTGTTGATTGATAGTGTTTTTTTATTTTGTCAGTTTGCGTGGACTCCTTTTTAAATTTGCACAGGATTCGGCATTTTTGTCATACAATTTTGACAGCAAATACTGTAACAAATACATACCAGTTACATGTACTGTATCTATAGGGTCTCCACTACATGTATATCTAATCAAGTCATTCATTTCATCGAAACATATAACATGTATAACTTCACTTCCACTTACATCTGGGGAGCTAATTCTGAAAATTTAAATTCCAGTGATTATTATAAATATAAGATCTGAACCTGATCATGCTGATGAACTGTTTTCCAAATAAAAAAATGGCAATACAACTGAAAATTCATTTAGATATATGTCAAATTCACACAGGCAATTGTTTTAAATAAATGTTGATAGTGTCCACATGAGGACACAGATGATGCCCCTGCTTGCATATCATATAGTTATAAAGGGACATAACTGAAGAACGGTAAAAGTGATGCTACCCAAATTTGAACTTGATCTGAGTTTTGTGGTAATAAGCATTGTATGTAAGTCTCATAACATTCGGTTGAGGCTAACTTAAGTAGAAAACAGAAACTAAAAATTCAGCAATTTTTCTATTTGTAAACACGCAATACTCTAGAACGGTTGTGTATAAGTTTCATCACATTTGGTTGAGGCAAACTTAAGTTAGAGAACGGAAACTAAAACTTTTGCAATTTTTTCATTTCTAAAGGGCATAACTCTAGAACGGTTAGAGTGACGCCACCAAAATTCAAACTTGATCTGTGTTTTGTGGTAATAAGAATTGTGTATAATTTTCATAACTTTTGGTTGGGGCAAACTTAAGTTAGAGAACGGAAACTAAAAATTTTGCAATTTTTCCATTTATAAAGGGGCATAACTCTAGAACGGTTAAAGTGACGCCACCAAAATTAATTCAAACTTGATCTGTGTTTTCTGGTACTAAGCATTGTGTATAAGTTTCAAAACATTTGGTTGAAGTTAGAGAACGGAAACCAATTTTGGGACGTACGTACAGACGGACAAGGGTAAAACTGAATGCCCCCACCGCTACGGCAGGGGCATAAAAATATTCACCAAGAGAGAAAACAATTAATTTTTCTTTTAACCAATAAGTGAACATCACTAGCAAAATGACTAGTACTAAATTTCTAGATGGAACTGTTGCGCATTTTGTCAGGATCTTTAACAGCTGAGTAAACAGTATTGTTCTGTTCATTGTTGAAGGTCTTAAAGTGGCCTAAAACTGCTTACATCCCCTTCATTTTGACCGTGGCTGATCATGATAGTTTTCTTATTGGCAATCCTACCACATCTTCTTATTTTCAAATTACTAAAAATTATCAATCTGCAACAATTAAATTCTATTTATATACACAGCTACTTTTGCATAGGTACTATTTCTGTACCAAACATATGTAGTACTGGAAATCTACTTTTAATATTCAGTACTATTTTGTTACTTTAAAATTAGTGCAATATTTAGGAAACTTTATTTTACAGTAGCAGTGTACATGTACATTGTATATATATTGATTAAAGGTAATCTGATCATCTCTATGAAGCAATGTTCAAAACACTCTGCAATTATCAGAAATCAAATTTATTTAAAGTCCAATGACAAAGCATATGTGCAAAACACTCAAAACTTTTTTTAAGTACCACAATCTGACAGAATTCATACATATACACAATCAGTGAGGCATAAAATGAAGGTCAAAAAGATATACTTTTTGTTGGATGCTGCATCATCATTATTAGTTAAATGAATGCAAGACATTGAGTACATGTAGTTACTAGTACATAATATTCGAACTTAAAATAAAGGATAATCTGATTTTTATCAGTCTCTGATCAGAAATAAAGCCACACAACAGCGAAATATATGTATCAGAGATGCACATACAATCATTGAATATATGTTTAAGATTAATACTTAGCATTGGCTGTCAACGTACATGTTTTGGTACATGTAAAAATGGACTGTCTGATAGGCAAACTCCACATAGAGATTGGACACTACATGTAGGTTACTTCATTAATTCCAGTATCAGTCATTATCAATAGTCAACTCCTCTGCCCATACCTTGTAATACTGCTGAAAGGGAGAAAACAGTACATTTGTGGACGCAATACTATTCAAAGAGTTTTGCAAACAATTAGCTTATAATATACATGTATTTCTTGCTATATGTATTTATATTAAACTTAGAATTGTACTATCAAATATCAACTAGAGGCTCTCAAGAGCCTGTGTCACTCACCTGTAACCACTGTTGTTTTGAAAATCATAATTAATAGTATTACATGTATTAGATACCCTTTTAATGATTTTATTAAATTTGGTCAAGTAGTTTAAACTAAAAGCAGGTCATCCCATTGTAGTCTTACAACAGTAACTGAAGACCCCTTGTCATTATTAAATTAGTTTTCAAGTTGTAACCATTTGAAATTGATTGTTTACTATTTCCCCTTAGACTGTATAGGATTTGCTCATTGTTGAAGGATGAACTGTGACCTGTAGTTTATGTTAACTTCTACATGTATGTCATTTAATCTTGGGTGAAGGGAAATTATACCATATCTTCTTTTATCTACAAATGTATATATTAGTTCAGGTGTATGAACATATACAAATGATGTACAATGTATATTATTCAAGACTTAAATGTTTGGAAACCAGAAAATCCTTCTTTTTTTTTTTGGCCCCAAATTATTAAATGGCATGAATGGTTTACATGGTTTAGTCTGTTACCCCAAAAATTAATCCAAACCTTCTTTTGAGGTATGGAACCTACAAATGACCTATTAAGTAGTACAATTTTATAGTTATCCTACACTTATACACAATTTATTGCCATGAAACATGAAAAATGCTTGTTTTGGACCATAATTCCTACATTTGTCCTAAACAGTTTCTGCTATAAAAAAAAATCATCTGAACTGAAACAAAATTTGAACTTGATATGCAACTTGTCATGGTAAAACTACATGTATACCATGCAATAATCATGAAAATTATCAGATCAATATCTTCAAGCATATATAACAATAAAATGCTCTGCTGGGCGCAGCTTGATACGACCGCAGAGGTCGAACCCTGAACAGTTGGAGCAAGTATGGACACAACATTCAAGCTTGATACAGCTTTGGATTGTGATTAAATATTTGACACAGCATAGGTTTCTGACACAGAATGAATGTGGTCAAAGAACTTAAAAATTTTTAATTTACCTATTATGGTCCAATATCTAAAATCTAAATACATACACGGTTAGATTCAGCATATCAAAGAACCCCAAGAATTCAATTTTTTGTTAATTTTTTGTTAAAATCAAACTAAGTTTCATTTTGGACCCTTTGGACCCTAATGTAGACTAATTTGAACAAGAGGCTGTCAGAGAGACAGCAAACCGGATTTCCTGCAGAGGTCGAACCCTGAACAGTTGAGCAAGTATGGACACTACATTTAAACTTAAAACAGCTCTGAATTTGGATTGTGATTGAATATTTGACACATCATAGGTTTGTGACACAAAATGAATGTAGTCAAAGAACTGATATATTTGAAATTGGACATTTAAATACCTATTATGGTCCAATATCCAAAATCTAAGTACATATTAGAATCAGCATATCAAAGAACCCCAAGAATTCAATTTTTGATGAAATCAGACAAAAGTTTAATCTAGGACCCTTTGGACCCTGATTTGGACCAACTTGAAAACTGGGCCTAAAAATCTAATATCTAAATAGAGTTTAAATTCAGCATTTGAAAGAACCCTATATATATATTTAATTTATGTTGAAATGAAACACAGGTTAATTTTATCCATAATATTTTCTGTGCAAATGGAAATAACTCAAACTGGATAAATAGTTCTCTAAAATAAGATATGATGCATTTTTTCAAATTATAATCAATAATATAATAACAACAACCAGTGATGACTAATTAATATAAGTTCTCTAAAATTAGATATGATTTAACACTCAATATTGTTAGAATCAGCATATCAAAGAACCAAAGAATTCAATTTTTGATGAAATTAAACAAAATTTAATTTAGGACCCTTTGGACCTCAATGTGGTATTATCTTATTAATAATGAAAAGCTCGACCGTTTACAAGTTCTTAAACAGGAGGGGGGTGGGGGTGACCCAAAGGGACTCGCCTTATACCCCCATGGATTTCATTTGATTTGTTTTATTGTCCCATACAAGAATATATATGGTTTCGGGGTGGTGATCTTGACCCTTTACAAGTTTTCAAAAAGAATGGGGTGGGGGTGACCCCAGGGGACTCGCCTAAAATTTTGAGGCAATTACCCCCAAAATCAATCCCAGCATTCCCTTTGTGATATGAAAACCTTGTGGTACAATGTCAGAGAGATCCATACACTAACACACAAGTTATTGTCTGGAAGTTACAAAAATGCTTATTTTTGGCCCCTAATTTCTTAACTGTTGATACCATAACCCCCAAAATCAATCCCAACCTTCCTTTTGTGGTATCAAACCTTATGGTAAAATTTCATAGAGATCCATTCACTTGAACTAAAGTTATTGTGCGAAAACCAATGTGTCTTCGGACGAAGACGACGACGCCAACTTCATACCAATATACGACCGCAAAATTTTTTAATTTTTTGCGATTGTATAAAAATGAAAGTGAAAAACTGATTGTTTGCGTGAGTGTAGCTCTGCAAAATTAAAACAACTTAAGTTATTTTTTCTGAACAGAATATATATTGAACTTGATCTGTGAACTTGTCATAATGTATACATATCTAAATATTATTGTTTATAATAATATTGTTTGTTTGCTATATGCCCTTCTGGGGCCCTAATTTGGTGAATAAAAATATTCTATTCTATTCTATATATAAGGGCGAGGGTTTGGATTCCCCTAACATGTTTAACCCCGCCACATTCTGTATATTTGTGCCGGTCCCAAGTCAGGAGCCTGTAATATTAATTTAGTGGTTGTCCTTTGTTGCTTTGTTACATATATATTTGTTTTTAGCGTTCATTTTTTATACATTAATTATGCCATTAGTTTTCTTGTTTGTATGTTTTACATTTGTGATTTTGGGGCCTTTTATAGCTGGGTTTGTGGTATGGGCTTTGCTCATTGTTGAAGGCCATACGCAACTATTATCAGCACCCGCTTTGCGCATGCGTCAAATTTGACCACAATCGATATCGATAAATTTACTATAGATTGTTAAAGGAAATCTTAAATTTTGATTAGCTGTCTGTAAATATCATTAAATTTCTTTTTCATTGGCATCAATTTTGAAAGTTCAATTTATAAGCTTTCTACAGATCTAATTTGTATTTTGATAAGGATTGCAGAAGTTAGGGCCTTTTTTCAATTAAAGAACACCGGGTGCACGACCTATTACATTGTACTTCATACAATACGAAACCAAAAATGTGTGCACATGGGTTTTCTTTAATGAATTGACATAACATCTTTATTAGAAACAGCTTCATTCGCATGTATATTTATTCTCTGGTTTTAAATCTATCCAACGATATAAATTTCATATTTTACAATTTTTTTTGAATCAGGGCCTTTTTTATTCAAAAATCAAGATGCGATCATTTTTTGAAGTTGACCAGAAATAATCTAAGTCAAACCGGTAAATATAATATTCATGGATAAATAATTAACACATGACAATGTGATAACTTCTGTTATTCTCAGTAGACATGAGTTGTTTGTGTTTTTTTTTCTTTGACGGTTTAACAATGTTTAATAGCCTCTTTCTTTTCAAGTTTGTATTCAATTGTAAATTTCAATGCACAAAAGTTTCAAATGAGAAAAAAAAAAATATTCTCCAAGATAAACCAATTGCCAAAGTCTTAAAAGAATAAGACAAGGGCAGCATATGTGCCAGTGTGGACTATATACGAAAATATTTGTATATAGTAATGCTAATTTAAAGATTACAAAACGGCAATAGCTTAGAATTGAAATAAATTGAACTAAAATATTTTAACAGTTTAAGAAACAAAATTTTAGATACATACATGTACATGTGAATTTACTAGTCTATTGCTTGTTTGATGCACATTCTCCTTTTATACACTTAACTTTAAGAAAAATAAATCGCATTGAACAAAATAAATATTATTTTTAAATTGTCTCCGTCCTTTCAAAAGATTCTATCATGAAAAAAATTTTAATTTAGCAATTGAACATTTAATGATTTATGTAAAGTATTTATTAAAAAGGAAACTTATTTTAATTATTTTTCTGTTAATGTAAAGTTTACGGAGAGCTGTCTCATTGGCACTCATACCACATCTTCTTACATTTACAAAATTTATAAAAAAAAAAATGTATATTGTACATGTATTTGCAGAATTTGAAATTTTTAATTTATCAAATGAATAAGATAATTGGAATCGTTAAAATTCAGAATTATACTTGAAAACAGATGCCTGCGACCCCTGTTGTTTCGATTAGCATGTTTTCTAAAGATATCCGTGTGAAGTTCACAAATTTCAACATGTATTTGGTCACCTGGTGTGAATTTCAGATAAAATTGTCAAGTTCAAATCTGTGGTTAAAACTTTCCTTTACATATCAGTTATATTATTATCTGGGCAGGGTACTCCCCCCCTTTTTTTATATTATACTCTGAACATTATTGTATACACTTTTTCTGTGGGACTTTCTTTATGTAAAACAAGATAAAAATCTACATTGTCTCATATTCGGATTTACGTTGAAAGAAAGGTTTAAGATATATCAAAATCGAACAACATCGTGTGAACATTTCTATTGATGACTATAGTGAATCATTTTTCGATTATGTATTTTGTTATTACATGAATTACATCTATCCATATTTTGATTGTCAACTCATTGCATACTTCTCTAAAAATGATGTTACTGAAATCAAGAATATTATATCTAATATAATATAACCTCACAATTACAACCCTCTTGCTTTTGAAATTGTTAAAGAACAATTTTAATTTTATGTAAGTGCTTTTATAAACTATAACAAGCCAACGATTTAATGATAGATATATATACATGTATATATGTTTGGTTATCATAATCTCGTATTTGTCCTTTTTCAACTTTTTATTTTGTATGTTTTATATTCGGTAAATCATTCCACATCTTCTTTTTTATACTGTATCGTTTTGTTGTCATTATTGATTCATACCATTTGTAGTTTTCTGTAATCTAAATATGCTGGAATAAAAAAAATTGACACAATTCAAGTCAATTGTGTTGCTTCTGATATGACGTTAAATCTAATTTCAAAGTGAGGTACAGCCACGTGACCAGTATTAGAGTGTACATTTTGTACAACAGATTAGGTACATTGTATTTGATCTGGTTTTGATGCTAGCAAGTCCGGAAACTTGTCAGTGATTGTCCTGTGTCATGTATGTGATAACTGCAAGTCAGCCAAGTGTTTGTTATCTATATAACTTTTGAGTTAATCATAGATAAGATAGTAATACGTATGATTTGAATCATACACAAATAAAAAAAGAAGTGACAAATTTATACTGTATAAGACTCAGTCAGAATTTGACATATCCATCTCCATTATTCATAAATATTTTTTAATCTGCCATTATCTGGGAAGTTGCGACACTTAAAGAATTCGATATGAGAAACTAAATCATGAATGCGTCTTAAAAGAGTTAAGTATCCATATGAACATTGAAAAATTATAAGCAGGTAATGAACTAATAAGTTGGTAGTTTAACTTTAGTTTGTTCAAATTGTTAAAAAAAATCGATAGCTTAAGACCCCTTGACTTCGTGAATAACAGAATGCAAGCTACGTTACTGTATACAAATAATAAAATAACTTACAATTCAACTGGAATTTGAAATTAGATGCGTTAGGTCCTATGGGGCGAACGTGTATAAAAATTATTTGGGAGCGAACGAAAACGATACCAAAATCGAAGATGAAAACCATTCTCATTCAGTCATTGCAGATTTCTGTTTATTCCTGCACTATTAAATCATTTGTTTGAGTTACCTGTAGTACATCCTCGAGTATTCATTGATTCATAGCTCATTGGTATTGTTTGTCTTGTTAAATTAACTGAAACAAGTACTGTTGTTGACAATCGGCTGACGGCGTTCTTCTCTTTAAGACGCGTCATAATCTGTATCTTACAAGCGTTTTAAAAAAACCCGACTCCGGACGAGAGATTCACGGATATTGTCCTGATCTGATGTTCAAAGTATTTCTCCATGTGAAAAGTGAAAAATAGGTACCTGCTAGTTCCCCCATTCCTACTATACAAATCCTTGGAACATATAACAAATTATTTTGTTAATAAGCATCCTTTACATAGGAGCACCTCCACATGGAGCTGTTAGTTAATTAAACCCTTACAACTATTTAATATATATATTTATAAAATCTGGGACTATTATACTAACTTAGTATAATAGTCCCAGATAAAATATAATAAATATAATTTCAATTATGACTGTGATTTCATTGTGTAAAAGAATATATATATATATCTATACAAAAGTAAAATGTTTAACCCTAATTCAATGAGCAAGCCTTGTCTAATTGGCAATCATTTACCACACATTTATTAATGCTTAAAGAATGTAAGTTTTTTTTAATAATAAAGTGTAAATGTAACCAAGGAATTGTATATTTAAATATACAATTCCTTGATGTAACCATTCATTTTTTCTGAATAAAAACATTAATCTAAGAATACAGGGACGTAAAATTGTTTTGTAATTTTAAAATGTGTCCCAGTGCAACAATTGATCATGCAATCTTTCAATTTCAAAGATTATAAACAAAATTTGCTTCTTGTATAGATGTCATGTTATAAAAAGCAATACAACAAATTTTATACTGCACTTTCAATATACTTAAAAAATTGATAAACATTCAAATTTACATTTATTGACAAAATTTAGTACATATAAAATTCTGTTCTGTATTCTTACTAGTTTTTATTCATATATGTCCTAATGTTAAACTTATGTGCGATTCAATGCTCACAAATTTTTTTGACTTATAAGTTTGAGGAAAAGTTTTATGCACAGTAAAAAAGGGAGATAACTCATGTTTGGAAGTTAATGATATATATATGATATATATTATCCTTTTTTTCTTTGCAATAATGGGAAGTAAAGAATCTATTACAGTAACAGTAATCTATTTCATAAGTTGGAGTTACCTCCCACATTTTTTAAAAGTATAAAAGTAAAGAAGACATAAGATGTGTGAAAGTAATTAAATTTACTACTTAATAATTATAGAAATATTACTAGTAAATCAATTAGTCCATCAATATAGGCATCTAGGAATTTGAAATAAGAGATACACATGTATACAAAATTCCATCCTAATGACTCTACTAGAGATAAATATAAACAGTGATAGAAAATATAATTCAAAACCAATATGTTTTTGTAGTTGCATCTAACCCACTATCAAGGGAGATAATTCATGCTTAACAAAAAGATAAATATTTATCATTTACAATGATTGTATGTCCAAATGTGTAAATCTTGAGAGACAAAGAATAACAGTTTTGAAATGATTCAATTTTGCAAAAAGAAAATTGGAATGAATAATAGCAAAATTCAGGTGAATTTGTTTCTCATGTTACAAAAATTTAACTCAATAAAGTTAAATTTCTCTTATGAATTCATGGTTTAATTCAGATAAAATGAAACATAACATTTTCACATGAGTTTTGATTCATGTTAATTTCATGCGAAATTGTTCACGTGAATTTAACGTGAAATTTTTCATGTGAATATATCATGAAATATTCACATGAATTTAACGTTAAATATTCACGTGAATTTCACGTGAAAATAGAATTTTTTAAATTAAATTAAGATTTCCATGAAATATATGATACATATAATACAAGATATTAGAGGTTGACAAAATGTTTGATTTTCGGTTATTTTTTTTTTAACTTAGACACCATTTATATTTTTTCACGTGAAATTCACATGAAATGTTTTACGTGAAATTCACGTGAAATAATTTCACGTGAAAATTTAACGTGAATTTCACGTGAAATCACTTCACGTGAAATTAACGTGAAATTCATGTGAAATTCATGTGAAATTCAAGTGAAATTCATGTGAAATTCACGTGAAATTCATGTGAAATTCACGTGAAATTCACGTGAAATGAGATTCACGTGAAATTCACGTGAAATGAGATTCACGTGAAATTCACGTGAGCAAAATTTGGCTGTGTAAAGCGTTCCTGATGAAGGTAAATCCAGAAAAGCGCTTCGGACGCAAGCAATTATTAAACGTGCTGTTTTCAGTTTTTTTTATTCAAATTTTCCATAAATCGAATGTAATTGATGTACATCTATCCCATCAATCTTGCAATTGAGGATACACAGACACATTTTTAAGTATGCTTCATGTCTTGACTTTTAAAAATTAACAATGAGGGTATATTGAGAACAAAATTTAATTTCAAGTTTGATGGGATAGATGTATATAAATTAGATTTGATTTATGGAAGATTTTAATAAGAGCTTTGATTCTTATGACCTTAACACCGTATGTTGTGTCACGTTTGAGTTCATGCAATACAAGGATAGATGGTTTCCAGTCTTTTTGAGAGGAAAAACCCCATCACGAGTTACTTGACCATTAAGTTTATTTTAAGAATAAGAGTATAAGAAGTTTGATAGGTTCTCCTATTGATTTGTGTAAAAGTGTTGTGTACCAACGTCTTTTTGGCCACAGTGGACTAATTAGTAGTATTACACATAGGTATTGATTTATGTGTTTCAAAACTTTCGGTATTAGGCAAAGTGGTGGAAAGGCACATGCCTACAGTTTGTCAAGTGATTATGTCATGTAACCCAAAAACCCGTTTTGGAAGCATCGGTAGCTTTTATAATGTTACTGACCCTTAATACAAGTCTCTGCCCTGTACATGTAAGTGTAGCCACAATATCATTGGACTTCGCAGGTGATGTGTAAATAAGATTTATCAGTCTTGATTTCTGAATGAGGGTTTCCAGTATTGCAGTAAATGTAACTGAATAGGCCTCATAAAGAGTCGTGTACTTAAGATCAGTTCTATGCATGATGTTATTAACCAAAAAGAACAAAATACTCCCTAGCTATATTATGTCTATCATTACTGGTTGTACTGATATTTTAAAGTTTCTCTATTGAAATTAAAAGTGTTCCTATGTTAATGATTGAGATGGAATAAATGATGACAATTGTAAATTTACAATAAACTCAAATCTTGTTAATAGATTTATTTGGTGTCAAAAGGTAGAGAAGATTGGCATTCAAAATCACGAGTCGAATAAAACAGATAAAAAAGTGATCATAGATAACATGATTATAATTCAATACACAAGACGGGCGTTTTGTCTACACAGTTGGGCTTGAATCAAAACAGTTAGTACCCGTCGAGTTAGTTCAGAATAGATTCGATGAAAATTCAGTCGGAGGTGCAGCAATCGAAAAAGGGGGACGTGATAAAATGTTCATTAATATAATAAGTGTTGCATACTCTGCCCTGATGAATGTTTAACTCAATGTTGTGTGTAAACCTGATAATCAGACGTCACACTATCTTTTTGTTGTACGTGGTTAATTTTTTGGTTACAGGGCGTTTTATATTTCTGGGCTCCTTGGCCCTGTAACCTCAAATCTGTCGAACTTTTTGTGTTTCTGACTATCAAATATATTGGTCTCGAGGATTGCTAAAGATTATTCCAGAAACACGGTATGTACTAATTGACTCATATTCGTATCATACGTATTTTATATGTATTTTGCTTGACAACCTATTTGAGTACCTACATGTAGGTTGGAGTTTGGAGCTCCAATTTATCTAGACCATTAATTTGCGAGCAGGTTCGCTTTGCATCGATTGATAAAATGTTTTAGAATGTCTTTGTTTCTCATGAAAAAAATGCAGTTCGCAGTTAACTTTGATTGGAATACAAAAGATCGTCTTATCTGCCTTTTAAAATATAGAAAACAAGATATCGAGTACACTATTAAAAAACGAACAGCTAGCATGCCTTGCATATTATAACAAAGATCAATTCGTCAAGTCTGAGTATTTCAAAAAAGGTCAAGTTCTGAAACGTTTTAAAATGAAGCAGTATGTGTATACTTTCAAACTGAAACAATTCGTTATGATATCATAGATTAACAATGGCCATGTTTGTACTTTATATTTAAATATATTGATATTTAGAATTTGGTAACTCATGATGGATTGTATGATACAATCATTAAACATGACAACAAGAAAGTTTTACAGTTATTAAAATTTGTTGTCGTCTCAATTCAGAGTGCAAAAATTTCTTCTTTAAATTCAAAATACTGAACCGTCCTCGTACCTTTTGTTGATACTAATTGTGTATTCTAAGTTCAAAATTACAAAAAAAAAAAAAAAAAGAAAGCAGCTTGTTTATATTTTCAGGATTAAAGAAAAGGTTCGATGAATTTGTCGACAATTTAGAACTGTAGCTATGGTGGATATCAATTTATCAACAAAATTGAAAACAAAAACTTGCCTGTAATAAATGATATTAGTGTTTAATTAATAATGAAATAGCAAACAAACACAGAATCAGAATGATGTGCAGACTTTACAAACTGTAAACATTAAATAAGATTGTCAAAATATATATGGTGAACATTTAAAAATATTATCTAATAGTGCTACAAGTTGTTTAAAACACCAACAATCAATCAATCTATAATAATATATATTCATGTGTAGTTTTATATATGTATTAATATTGTTTTTTACTTTTATTAGTTCACTTACTTTTGTTAGTCATCATCATCATCATCATCATCATCATCATCATCATCATCATCATCATTATCAAACATCATCATCATCATCATCATCATCATCATCATCATCATTGATATAGTGAATATTTTGGAATAATGTACTTTTTTTATGTTAGCAGTTAAGTTGATTTAATATATAAACTGAAACAAACTCATCAAAGATACCAGGTGGATAATTTGTCCGTCCAATGCGTGGTGCAGAATTCAAAACTTACACAGATTAAACAGGAAAATACTATCATATGAATTAATAGGACATATAGTCAGTATGCCAAAATGAATTTGAACTAATAAGCCTATTGGTCTTTCTTTAAATCAAAAATTA